ACCACGCAGGGTGTGTCCCAGGGACACGACTGGGCTTCAGTGCAGGACACCAGTGGGTCCGTATTGACTGTCAAAGCCGGGGGTGCCCGGGGGGCTCAGCCGGTTCAGCATCTGACTCTCGGTTTCGGCACAAGTTATGGTCTCGTGGTTTGTAGTTTCAGGCCCCTCATCGGGCTCTGCGCTGACGGTGAGGCGCCTGCTTGGGATTCCCTCTCCCGTCTCTCTGCTCCTACCCTGTTTCCTCTCTCAAAAATAAACAAACTTTTTAAAAAATTAAAAAGAAAAACAGCCACAGACAGACAGGATGGCCAATTTAATAGAGAAGAAAACATCTCGGTGAAATGTAGCGCTGCTTCCCAGAGCATCTTAGCAATAAATGTGCTGATGGGAGTCAGGCGTGCACTGCTGGATGGTGGCTCTGGGGCATCCACCCCTTTCCCGGTTTGTATTTCGCCGGACGCTTCAGCGGCGCAATGCGAGGCGGCGGAGCGGGGAAGCACGGGAGATGTGACCTGCCCACGGGCACGCGTGGGCCCCCAGGAGAAGCCTCACAAGCACTGAGCAAGGCTGCAGGGTGGAAAGCCAACACACGAACCACTGGCCAGTTAGAATCTGGGGTGAAAGGTCCACTCAGGATTCCAACCCTCTCTAAAGATGGGTACAGTTATCACTGAGAAAACGACAGAAGGAGGAGCCCAAGAGACACTGAGCTGGGCCATGTTTGTGGACTAGAGGGAGCTCTTCTTGAAGATGTCAGTCAGATGTCGCCAAATTAACCCATAAATTCCATCGCCTCCAAAATAAGGTTCTTTAAAAAGGATCTTTAGGCTGCTCTTAAAATTCAGGTGGAAGAGCAGAAGGCCAAGAACAGCCAAGACGGTTCTGGAGAAGGAAACAGGGGCGGTGCCTTGTGCTAACAAGCGCCCCGGCTTTGGAAACAGGGCAGAGGGGGACGTAGCCTGAGCAGGACACGCCCGGATGCTGGGCAGAGAGCGGAGGCCACATGTGGTTCAGAAGGAAACACTGGTTACTCTGCATGGGAAATATCAGGGCCTTTCATGCAAAATGTGAAGATAAATTTCCAATGAATGAAGAGCTTACGTGAGAAAAGCAAAGCTTTGTAACTTTTAGAAGAACACGTGGGAAAGTATATTTAAGAACTTGGGGTAGGAAAGGAATTTTTAGACAATACTCAAAACATAAAAAACATGAATCCATTTGAAAATATTAAAATTTAAAAATTCTGCACATCAATAAAGAACATAAAAGGCAAGCCACACAACCAATGCATAATCAAGAAAATTACCAACAACCAACTCAAAAATGGGCAAAGAATATGAACAGGCAATTCACAGAATAAAAAATTCAAATGGACAATAAACATTTTCAAAATATCCCACCTAACAGGCAATTAGGGGAGTGCAAATTAAAATGAAGAGATCCTATTTCGCACCGCAGCACCACGGCAAAGATTTAGTCTGTCGGTCCGTGTTGCATGGAGGTGAGATAGGGCATCTCGTCAGGTGGAGGCCGTCTACGTGGCCGGGCCTCTTTGGGAAGAGGCCCAGGCCCACGGCCGTGTAATCCACAAAGGTGACACGTGGGAGTGGGTGGGCCTCTGTGTGGCAACTCAGAGCTTAGGTCCACGGACACAGCAATTTGTATCAGCAGCAGATTTGTATCAGCTCAGAGGGAACATAACATGAGCACTGGGCACTGGGTGCTCAGCTCCAGAATGTGGGACGGAGGCTGGGACTTCTCAAAAAGGATCTGAGGCAAGTCCTGCCCGAGGCCAAGACCCGACAGGCTGGGTAGACACGGCACTGGCCAGTCTTCTTTCTTCTGTCCTCAGTGTTTGAAATGATTCTGAGAATGTCCTCGATCCACTGGGAACAGATTTCACCGTTCTGGGGAAGGGGGAAGCTGGGGTCCACGCGCAGGCTGTTTAGGGAGGACAGGGTCCCCGGCTGGAGTCTCATGCCAGCCATGCTGGCTCCCAGCGTGTCCCTGAGCTAGCCTTGACCCTGATCTGGCCCTCACTGGTCACTGGGGGCCTGACACGGGGCAGGAGGCTGCAGAGCCCAGACCTGTGTTGTTCATAAACATCTGTGTCTGCATGTGATTATACACGCCTGCGCACGTGTCTGTGCGTGTACGTATCTATGCGCATGTGTAAACATGCATCTGTGTGTGCGCGTGTACATCTGCTCAGTGGGCAGCCTGGCCGGCTGCTGCAGCGTGACATCGCCTTCTAAGAAGTGGCTCTTCCCCATTGAGGCAGGCGCTAACGGGAACGTCACGGGTGCTGTGTGGGTGCGGCTGCTTGTTGCCGTTGTTCCAACGGTTTACTGCGTGCCGGCGGGGGCAGCGCCGTCAGGCTGGAAGGAAGCAGACCGGCGGCTTAACGGCCTGCAGCCCTTCTGGAGTAATTGGATGGCCGGTAGCTACAAGCAGCCTGTTCTCGGATGACATGCCCTGCAAGCCGATGACGAGATGCTGTCCAGGTGGGAGGGGCCGCAGCGGGGCCAGGGCCACCACGTGCCAAAGCATGCAGACGCGTGGGCCCTACGCACAGTCCCCACCTAGGCAGGTCACGCCTGGAAGTTACACACGTGCACAGGGACGCCCCGCCCCGCAGGCCCCTGCGCTCCTGCACCGCCTGGCCATCCTGAGCTCCCACCTCCTGTGCCCCTGGACCCCCAGAGGGCATCCTGAGCCCTGCTCCTGCTCCTCCGGCCCCCCCTGAGCTCCCGCAGCCCTGCTTCTGGGGCTGGGCCCCTGAATAAGGACCCATATAACCCACCTGTTAGGGGCTGAGGGCCAAGAAGGAAAACCCCTTGGGGCGCCTGGGTGCTGACAGCTCAGAGCCTGGAGCTGCTTCAGATTGTGTCTCCCTCCCCCTCTCTCTGACCCTCTCCTGCTCACACACTCTCTCTCAGAAATAAATAAAATGTTTAAAAAAAAAAAAAAAAGAAGAAGAAGGAAACCTCTTGCCAAGCCCGTGGCCTGCAGCAGGCACAGAGGGGCCTTCGGGAATGGGATTCCCACCAAACCCCCTGCCTCAGGCGTGGACCCTTGTCCCTGTCTTGCCCGTGGAACAGGCTCTGAGTATGTGGGTGCCCGGGCTGCCCGCCTCCGTGCCTTCCCCACGGAACTGTCCCCAACCTGGGACCCAGAAGAGGGGGGGACGCAGGACTGCCGGGGCCTCCTGCCCTGGCTGAGTGACGTTGCCTGGAGACGCCGTCCCCAAACCCCTGTCGCTGTGTCCAGACCCGCTTCCCACACTCTGCACCTGCCACGGTCACGGCCACTTGGGTGTGGAGCGGCTGAACGCACAGGAACCAGAGGCTGCCTGCTGAGGGGAGACTCCCCTCATGGCTGGGGGCCCAGGGCTAACATGGAGGTGTCACAGGGCTGTTTCCTCCTGGGGGCTCCAGGGGACGATCCGCTTCCCCTCCCAGCTTCTAGAGGCATCCATGGCCAGCAGTGTCTGACTCTGGGTCCCCAGGGACAGCCCTGCTGCTGCAGTCCCAGTGCCAACCAGGGCCCAGGTGAGCTCCCTGCAGACGGCCTTCCGCCCAGACCGCCGCGCCCGCACTGCTACGACTGTCTGACCTCACCCCCAGACAGAGTGTGGTTTTCACCCGGCCTCCCTCTTCCTGAGACCCTGGGCCGTCACCCCCCACACGGCCCCCGGTTTGTCTATGCAACAGGCTGGGAACATCTGGGGTGTCCGCCCGACACAGCCCAGCTATGGGAACGCGGCGGGGACCTGAGTGGGGCTGCTGCCCTCCCCTCCCTCGTACGCGGGGTGCACCCCCAAGCTCATGGCAGAGGGTCCCGGGCGGTGACTCCGCCCTGCGGCCGTCCACTGACAGCTGTACTAAGTGCCCATGTCCGTGCCGCCCTGCAGCTTCCCCAGGGACGCGTCCCCGTTGCTGTGGCACGAACGCAGGCGTGACAATTTGATATTGATCTATTTGATGAGTTCGGCATTTCCTGTGGTGCTGTTTTAACAAAGGACACACTATGTCCTACAGTCAGGACGAAGGGCAGCTCGGACTCGCGCACAGGCTGGGGCTCTGAGGTTCCAGAACGCGGCCAAGCAGCCGTGGCAACGCACACACGACCACAGTGACGGAGGAGAAAGACGGGACACGGAATGGGGGGCGGGGGACACAGCCAGGTGTGCGAAAGTTCGGGTGAGGAGCCCTGGGGGGCACAGTCACAGCCGCGTCCGGTGGCCGAGGGCAGGGGAGGCACGGACGGGCTCAGGAAGTGACGGGGGAGCAGGGAGAGGTGGGCAGGGTCATGACGGTCACCGGGGGCCCGGGGGCCAGGCTGCACAGGCCAGGGCTGTTTCAACAACCAGAGCCACACTTATCAAATGTACCGCTTAGCGCTGTATCTCCTTCAAAAAACCTTTATGGAGAAACTCAACATAAAAGAGAAACGGAGTTAGGCTTTCAGAGCTTCAGCTGACCCCAGGGGCTCTCGGGAAAGTACCTTATAACCCAGCCACGGGGCTCGTGTGCCTGGGGGCACTTGTGTGTGCAGGCATGGCTGTGGCCTGAACCCCTGGAGGCATGTGTCTCCCGCCCCTTCCACGCGGCAGGCCCTGCCCTGTGCCACACGCTGTGCTGTCCTCCCAGCGCACGGAACAGAGCCGTGTGCAACCCTCCCCAGACGGGAACCCCAGATTCACGCACCAGGACCCGGCTGTCGAGGCTGCTGGCCTTGCCTGGCCTCAGAGCGCTCGAACGGCTTCCTCCCTAGGCTGCCAGGGGGCCCCATGCTCACCTGTGTCGGCTGGGGGGGCCCATGCTCACCTGTGTCGGCTGGGGGGGCCCAGGCTCACCTGTGTCGGCTGGGGGGGGGCCCAGGCTCACCTGTGTCGGCTGGGGGGGCCCCATGCTCACCTGTGTCGGCTGGGGGGTCCAGGCTCACCTGTGTCGGCTGGGGGGCCCAGGCTCACCTGTGTCGGCTGGGGGGGCCCAGGCTCACCTGTGTCGGCTGGGGGGGCCCAGGCTCCCCTGTGTTGGCTGGGGGTGGGCTGCCGCAGGGGCTCATGCCTATGCTCCTGGGGGGGGTACTGGCTGGGCGCCAACCAAGCTGCCCACGGCTGACTCCCGGGCGCCTGCTCCTGCCTCTCCTCTGGGAGTGGACTGCAGGATGGCACGGATGGGGCTCTCTGGCCACGGGGGACCTCTCGAAGCTCAGTCTCATTGACAAGTAGGACACGGCATTCTGTGTCCCCAGAACAAGCTAACGTGCTTCTGTGGTCCTGTTAGCTGAAGGTGACTATTATGTTTTCAAAGTATTTGATATAGATTACAGCGTAAGCTGAATAGTTTTGTAAACGTTTTCAGGAGATCAGAATTTTCAGGATTAAGACAGACACAGTGTCAAATCAGGAGGATTAAGTAGGAGCCCTGCCACGTTTGATCTGGTTTTGCCCAGTGGCAGGTGGCTGCCTGGTTACAAGGCCAGACCAGGGCCGCGGGGAGCTGAGCACGTGCTGTCCCGCAAGCTGCCGGGGGCCACCCTGGAGGAGAGCGGACAGCGGGCAGCCAGGGTGTGTCCCGGGCTCAGGTAGGAGCGAGGGCTGGTCGCTCTGGGGCAAACACTGCGCCTGGGGTCAGGCTTTCGGGGACCCAGGCCGCACACCGCACAGGGGTAGGGGAGTAGGGGGCTGGTTTCTTCAGCCTCTCAAGCACCGTGCCCCTTCCCGGGGCCAAAGTGGCCCCTCCCAGTCCTTGCCTCACTTTGCTGGTCTCTCAGACGCACATTCCGGGCACCTAACGTCCGGGAAGAGCCCAGACCCCAGCAGTCTCAGGCAGAGCAGCTGCCGTGGTCTCTGATGAACTATCCAGATGCCTTTGGATTTTCCGCTTGGAGTATGGGTGGGGCACCTATGTGCCAGAGCCAGCAGCACTAAGAACCGAGGTGCGGGGCTGCGGGGTGGTGCCCGTGGAGGGCGTGGCACAGAGAGGCGGGTCAAGGGTCGAGGCAGCACAGCTACGAGGGCACCAGCCTCTCCCACAGCCAGCGGATCCACAGCGACAGGGGCTGCGTGGCCGCAGAGCTGGAAACCCAGACTGCTTGGCTCACCCATCACAGAAGCTGTCAGCCCTTGGTCTAGAACGTTCCTGCAGGGGACTGTGGGGCCACATGTGGCCACCGGCATGGCATCCAGGGGCCTTGCTGCCAGCCCTGAGCTGAGTCGCACGGCATCTGCTCGGCCCTGACAGCCCGTGTGTGTGCAGATGGACGCCCCTCAGCGATGTGCCCAGGGCACCGGGCTGCCCTGAGCGCAGTTAACTCTGGGGTGAGATGGCCAGGCCCATTCTCCGGGTCAGCCTCTCTGAATAGTTAGGTGTCCAGCCAGGAGGCCCTGGGGGGTCATGGTCACCTGGGAGGCCACACGGACAGCCCAGGCTGTGGGAGACACTGGGCTGTGCACGCGGAGACGCACGACTTGTGACCCGGGCGCAGCCCACGCAGGCCCTGGGCAGATGGCACGGCACAAGCTTGTTTTCTCTGCACAGACTTTACTGAATTTGCCTGGAGACCTGCTGCCTGGGGCACACGCTGGACACTGCGGGGACCCGCCCGGCAGACGGCACCACGTGGGGCTCCACGGCGTGGGTGCGGCTGTGCGGACGCAGCAGAGGCGACGAGGCGGGGCACATCGATCTGGAAATCAGCCCGAGGCTGAGGAGGCGTTGCACCGGGATCCCCCCTCTGCCAGCCCCGGCTCTGCTCCGATTTTGGGGTTCCAGGTTAGAGGGGACCCTGCTCACACGGGTAGAACTGCCTGATTAGGTCTCTCTTGTTGACCTTCCCCATCTGGTTCCGCGGGACCTCCTCCACCAGCAGGAGCTCCGAGGGCACGGCGTACGGGGCCAGGACACCCCTGCAGACATGGGCGCGGTCTCAGTGGCAGGCACTGGGGCCTGGACAGCCCCCTCCCAGTGCAACAGGGGGCTGTGGGGCCCCGGAGCCCGGCCACGCCCGCGCCTGCTCCGGGAGGGCACCCCGCTGCAGGACACCGACACGGAGGTGCCTGGGCCCGTGTTCCAGGCCCAGCTTCGGCCAGAGGACGAGCTCTCTTCAGGGCCAGGCCTCCCCGAGCAGGGCAGGGCAGGGCAGGGCAGCTGCGGCCAGATGCAGGGAACAGGCAGGGGGGCGGGGTGGGGGGCCTAGAGGGCTGGTGCTGCCCTCCCTGCAGAGCCCGGTGAAGGGGGAGGGGCGAGTCTGCGGGTCTCAGAGCCGCTCTGCACTCTGTCCCGTGGGGGCCCCTGTTAGCGTGTTCTCCTGTGAATGGCCTTGTGGAAGGATCTTGCCCCCCCAGGCTCTACTCTGGGAAACTGCTGTGCAGGTGGTAGGCACTGGCCCTCCTGAGGCCCCGTCTGAGGCCCCTGCCCCGTGGTGAGGAGAACATGGGTCCGGCCAGGCGGTGGGGCGGGCACACCAGCTCTTGCCTCGTGGGCCCCTGAGCCCCACTCCCCGGGGCTGCTGCCCACAGCTTCAGGCCAGGCCAGAGGGACACGGCACCCCAATGTCCATTGGGGCCGGCAGGTACGTATGGTCCCTGGTCTGCAAACCGTGGGGGCATCTCAGCCGCTGGGGAGGTGGTGGCGAGCTCGTGATGGGCCACGGTGAGAGCTCCCGAGTCTCGGCCTCAGCAGCCGGTGCTCACAGACACGCAACTAATCGCCTTCGTGGGCTGCGTCCACCTGCCCACGGGCAGTGAACGTCACCAATAGCCCACCAAACGCATGGTTACTCTGGGGGCCTTGGGGTTCAGGTGCTGGCTCATGAGGGGGAGGGGGCCCCACCTATGGTCCTGGCAGCTTGGGGACCCGGCCAGCCGCCCACCAGGGCCCAGAGAACACAGGCAGCCAGGCTGGACTTCGCTGAGGCCACCAGGACTGGCCGGGGGGCGGAGCACGGCGGGGCGAACCCAGAGGCCCGATCCGGGGACGCAGCCCCTCGCAGCCCCCCACCCCACTGCCCAAACCCCATGTCTCCAGTGCATGGGTGGCTTCCCCTGAGTCCCCTTTGGACGGCCAGAGCGGAGCTGGTGCCAGGGCCCAGAGAGAGCAGGCAGAGGGGTCCCGGGGGCACAGGACGGAAACAGCATCACTTCCTTGTGACCGGACCCTCCCTGAGAGCCGACCCGTGAACAGGCACAGCTGAGCCTGGAGGAGTCCGAGCTGAGCACAGCCTACGAGACACTGTCCACCCACCGCTACGGGCGAGGCCGCGCTCAACACGGCGCCAGGAGCAGGTGCGGCTCTGGGTTCGGAACACGTGCTGCTCCGACTACTCAAGGGCCGGCAGAGGGAAGAAGGCAGCGTGGGTGAGCGCGCACCGAGGGCGGCCCTCGCACCACGGGGCAGGGCTTTGCGGGGGGCAGATGGCAGTAAGTCAGAGCCCGGTGTTACAAGCCCGAACTTAGCGGCCACTTTTGAAAAGAGGAACAACAGGCACCAACACGAGAAAAGGCTGTACGAGCGTCGTGAAGGGCACGGCAGGGTTAAATCCTGCGGGCCCTGCCGTTTCCGAGGACAGCACCCTTCCGGACCGAGGGCTCTGACCCTGCGGATGAAGGGGTGTGACCCTGTCCTCCTGCAGAGGACCTCAGCTTGGCAACTGGTCAAGCAGGAAACTTCTAGAATCACGTCGAGGCGAAGTATGCCCTCAAACAGAGACCCTGCAGAGTTGTGAGCCGCAGGCTTCCTGGGGCGACGGCCCGCGCACCTGGGGGTGTCCCTCCCCCCAACCACTACTTCACGCGCTTCTCCAGGGACAAGGCCCGGCGGGCACTAAGCCAATGCCGACTGCTCCTCCGTGGCCTCATCAGACGTCACCGCTGGGTTCAGGAGCACAGACCCTGGTTCTTCCCTGGTGTGTAAATCCCACGTCCCTTTCCAACTTGGTACGTGGGGGACAGAAGGGTGGCGGGTGGTCCACATCCCAGACCCTGCAAACGTGGTCCTGTTGCGCTCCAGGCCCCCTCACTCCCTCCGAGGGGACAGCGGCTCGGGGCCACAGGAGGGAGCCAGCCCTCCCCTAGGAGCAGGGTCTGTGAGGGCGGAATCTTCAGAAAGGAAAAAGTGGGAGCGCAGAGGAAAGTGTTATTTTAAAAAAACCTTCCAAAAGACCCCCAGATGACAGCGAGCATGACAGAGAGAGAGAGAGAGAGAGAGGGAGGGAGAGGGAGAGAGAGAGGCCTTCACCAAAAGCCTCGCGGGAGCCAAGGTCCAGAGTCGGACCTGCCCTTCGCAAAGAAGACCCCTCTCCTTCCTCCATGGGGTGGGTGGCCCCTGTGTCACCGCCCAGTGACTGCCCAGCTTGAGGACACAGAGGCCCGGATGCTGGCCGCACTGTGCTAGTCCCAGAGACGGGGGGGCTGCCCTGGCCTCCCAGGGTAACCCCGGAGCACGGAGAGCCAGCCTGAGCCAGGTGTGTTCACACGCACATGCAGGGGTGGACGTGAGGGGCCCCCCGCCCGGGGGAGGCCAAGATGGCGCCTGGACAGTCTCTGCTCGGCTCAGGGCCTGCGGTTTCTTCTCTTTAACAAAGTAATTGTCTAATCAAAGCAGCTACAGCGACTAGAATCTTCTCCATTGTTAAACTGACTCTCAACTGTGACTTTGCGAATGCAGAGGAAGCCCCTCGCCCAGCTCAGCGGGGCTGCCCCTCATGAAACAAGGCTCTCCTGCTGTTTGTGAAATCCCTGGACAAGCCCAAAATATCTTCAGCTCTCAAGAGAGAGGAGAGCCAGGCAAGTCGGGGAGGAAGGGGTGCGGGCAGGAGAAAGTTCCCAGATCTAAGACAAAGAATCTGGGGATATCATCAGTGCTTCCTTTCTGAGCTGCCTCCAGACCCCGCCCCTGTCCGAGGGTCCCAGCCTCAGCCTGACCCACAGACGGACCTTGGGGCACCGCAAGACACAGGGAAAGAGAGGCCCCGGGGTCATGGCATGTGGCAGAGAGGCTCTGGGGGAAGGGACGCAGTGAGGGATGGGCCTGGGGCTTCAGTGGGGACGCAGAAGGGGCGGGGGGGGGGGGGCTGTGGCTCCGGCTCCCAGAGGCAAATGGCAAATCCCTGTGTTCGGCACAGCTGATGGAAGGGTGCCCGGGAGGAGGAGGCGGCACGAGGCCCGCAGATTCTTCCGGAAGTCGGGAGAGGCCCTGCAGCATGTGCCCTGTCCCGGGGCTGGGAGGGCAGGGGCTCCCACCCAGTCTCTCTACATCTGTTCTGGATGCCATTACAGACCTTTCCTGGGACCCTTCGTGTGTCTGGGGCAGGCTCAGGAGCGTGACATGTCACCTGACCTTTCAGGCGCCCTCTGACCCCGGGATGGACAGCAGCAGGACCCGAGACCCCTCCCACCCCTCCCCCTACCTCAGGACAGTTCCCCCCACCCCCGTCCCTTCTCCCAGCGGCAGGACCCCGGCTTGCCTGCCCCTACCTTGCCCACTCTTTGAGTTCCCTGTGGGACAGGGAGTGTCCCTCCTGAAGGGTCACCACTGCAGTGACCCGCTGGCCCCACGTCATGTCTGGAACTCCAATCACAGCCACATCTGTGGACAGAAGAGCAGGTGGGATACCTTGGAAACGTCGTGAAGGCTGACACAGGCCCAGGACACGGGGCCCTGGAGCAGGGCCTGGGAAAGCCCTGCTCAGCAGCCACGTGGAGGGGAGCGTCAGGTCAGAATGCGGGGCCTGCTGGGGATGGAGGTGGGGGGGAGGGAGTCAGCTGTCCCGTCTCTGCCTTCCGTCGCACGGCCGGAGGGGACAGTCATTGGTAAGAGGGCTGGGGACAATGACAAGTCTGGAGTGGTCACGGTGGAGAGCCTCTGCCGCCCTCGGGGTTCTCACAACCTGTGACCTGGGGTCAGGAGCTTCCTGGCCCAGCACCCACCTGGGCCACGGGGACAGCTCAGGACGCCCCCACCTTGGCTCCAGCTTACCCGGGGGCCCGTGCTCCTGAGCCCGTGGGTGGTGCCAACCAGCAGCTCCCTGGTCAGGCCTGGACCCCAGCCGAGGCGGAGTTGGGGGAGGGAGGTGGGGGGGGAGGCAGGCAGGCCCCAGCAGACACATGGGGGTGGGGAGCGGGAGAGAGGGCCCCAGCTGTGTGTGTCCTGGGGGTGGGTAGCTGGATCCAGTTCTGTGTGCAATCACACGCCTTGGGGTCCTGACCACGGGGCGGGGCGCGCAGGGGCGAGGGGCGCCGCGTACCTGTGATGCTGGGGTGCGCCAGCAGGAGCCGCTCCACCTCCAGGGCGCTGATCTTGTAGCCGCCGCTCTTGATGATATCTACCGACGTGCGGCCCCGGATCCAGTAGGTGCCGTCCTTGAACACGGCCGTGTCACCTGAGGGCACGTGTGTTGGGAGGAGCACACGCATGGCGTGTCTGGGAGCAGCAGTGTCCCTGTGTGGTGACCCCCGGGGGACGGTGGTGGGTGTGGGGTCCCGGGACAAGGTGGCAAGCAGGGGCCCCCATGCCAGAACGGCCACGAGCATACGGCAGCGTCCGGAAGGGCCACTGGGGACCGTCTGCCGTAGGGACCAGGGCTCAGAGGCAGGAGGGCTGGTGCTCTCACCACCCAGCTCGGTCCCTTCCCACCCCTTCTCAGGCCCATGAAAAGAGAGGAAAGAGGCCCGCTGCCTCCGGCCATCCCTCCACGGGGTCCCGGTCACGGCAGGGTCCGGGGGCAGCCGGCACCACTCAGCTTCCCTCATCTGTGGGGTCTCCTGGGCAGCACGCAGGGTCTCTCCTGCTCCGCCACGCCACCTTCGTGGTCCCCACCCCGCGGCCCTGCACCCTGGTGCCCGTGGAGGCCCTCCCAGTCCTCTCTTGGGCAGCGCTGGGCAATGTGGCATCACCAGCACCCCAGCACGAGCAGGTGGCATGGGGACAGTGAGTGCCAGCCCGGAACGTGGATGGGGCAGGGAAGGTGGGCCCGAGTGCGTCCGTGTGTGGACATGCGTGTGAATATGTGTGGGCACGTGCACATGGGGCCGCCCCCGGGCCCTCTGAGAACAGTGCTGGGACCTCCCTGCCAAGGATCACAGGCCACGTGCCCCTGTGCCGGGTTACTGGCTGGAATAAATCATAAACGCTTCATTGCGAGTCCCGCCGCCCATGCAGGAAGTCACCATCCATCATTCCCACCCCCCACGAGTGGCCGCAGCGCAGGGCGAGATCCGGTCTACTGAACGGCGTGGGCGCCTGGGGGTGGCCGGCGGCCCGCTTGCTTACGGGAAGGCCACGCTCCAAGGGCTCAGGGCCATGAGCGAGATGGGCTCTGCCCCACGGACGGGAAGCAGAGGAAACCAAAGGCTTTGCAAGTGCATCTTTGGAAGGGGTGTCGTGGCCTCAGGACACCTGACTGGGGGGCTGGCCGGCCAGCAGGGAAGGGGCGCAGGTGTGGAGGAGCGGGGATGGGGGGTGGATGTGGCCTGTTGGGTCCTGCGAGGCCCAGTGCGAGGCCCGTTCCGGGGTGCAGCCCCAGCCCCGCCGCGTCCCCTCCCCACTGGACGGCTGTGCAGGCTCCCGAGAGCTTTCTGACCGCACGGCCCACGCCGTTACTGCCTCCTGCCGTGGGAGGGGACACCACACTCACTGGCACTCGGGTCCTCCAGCGGGTTCCTGGGCCTGCCTCCTCCCCGCCCCCCACAGCTACTCGCCTGGAGACCCTGCGGCGTGAGGGACCCTGCCCTGGGCTCAGGCTCCTGTCCCTGGTCCTGCTGGGGACACCCATGTGCGCCCCCAGGGCCGGCGAGGCTGTGGGGCGTGGCCTGGCGCCGTGTCTCTGCCTCTGCACTGCTCTTCCTGCTCTGCTGCTGGTGCGGGGGAAGGAGGCCCAGGGCTCCGGCTTGCTGCCCTGGACAGGGGAGGGGCTGGGTGGGGAACCACCATCTCGGGGGTGAAGGGGACCAGGATGGGATCGCCCTGCTCTCCCCGGACCCCTCCCCACAGTGCCTGGAGACCCTGAGGCCCCAGGCACCTCAGTTCTGAAAGCGGGCCCCTGCTCGGATTGCGGGGTGGGCTCAGGCTAATCAGGTGATGTGCTGAGACGTGTGAGGCCCGGCCTGCAAGGCTGCGGGACGTCCCGGAAACAAGGGCCCCCAACCCCCGTCAGGCATTCTGCTCCACCCCCTGGTGCTGGCGGAGACTGACTCTAAAGTCCAGCAGAGATGGTGGCAGCAGGAGGGCGCCGTTCCCAAACCCCGCCCCGCAGCCCCCCCCGCAGCCCTGCACCCCCTGCCCTGCCGCTCGCGGTGGGCAAGAAACACTAGCGCCTCCCAGACCCAGTGGTGCCAGGACAGCCCCGCCTGCCCCTGGGGCCCACACCCCCGGCATCCGGGACAGCACACCTGCTCCCTCTGGCGCTGACCCTGCCCACACCGGGGACACCTGCTGGCAGCTCTGTGGCCAATGTCCTGTCCAGCCCAGCCTCGGGGGGGTGGGGGGGACACGGGTTCTGTTTCTGGGTGGGGACGCTCGACACGGGACGGCTCAGGTTCCAAGGACATCCTTCCCTGCTGCCCAAGTGTCCGCCTCCCGCGGGGTCGGGTGTGAAGCCTGGAGGGCTGCCCGGGGCTGGGGTGGGGGCACGCGGATTCCCAGGGGATTATGCTGGTTACACTTATAGGGTCTGTTTCTGCACTGAGCCCTAAACAACGGGGGGTGGGGGGCGGAGGGCTGGCCCGGGTCCGCTCGCTCCTGCGACGAGGCCAGTGAGCACACATCGTGCTACCGGCAAGGAGGCTGGGGAATGGTGTGAGGGTGCAAGGGACTCCCTGGGCCCTTCCTGCCCCATCATAAGGGTCCAGGGCACACAAGCCACGGGTCTGAGTCCTGGCAGGAGCGTCACAGACACAGGACCCCAACCACGTGGGTCACCTTCACTCTTATAAACTCTGTTTACCAGAGCCCCCGGGTTCTGGAATCACAGTCCCTGGCAGTGGCCGTCCCACACTGAGGGGGCCGAATCCTGACAGATGCGGAATCACCACCATCCCCCTCAGCGCGGGAACTCCGCGACGCGAGTTTGAGCAGGATGTGTCGGCCACTTCCCGGCTCTGCCTCGGTCGTAGGAAACACGCCTCCCGACACCCAGAGGCTGCTTTTCCGGATGCGTGGGCGGCGGGCCTGGCACCCCACACCCAGTCCTCGGCCACGCAGGACCCAGGGGCGGGGCCAGCTGGCTCTTCCAGCAGCCTCGGGGACTCAGGCTCTGCTCCTGGTCCCTGGAGAAATGGAAGCTGCTCCTCCGGCCAGTCCTGCGTCTGTCTGCGGGCACGGAGGCCACGGCCGGGCGGCGGGGAGCACGGAGCCAGCCCCCCTCCTCGGCTCTGTGAAGGCCACCCAGCCAGCTGGGCGCCTGAAAGACGCAGGAGCTGCTGTCACCACGTGCCCAAGGGGGACCCCCGAGCCCCGGCTCTTCCCTCACGCGGCTGCCCCCGCCCCCCGACTCCCTCCTGTGAGGAAGGGGCTGAGGAAGACACCAGAAGGAATGACACAACTCCTGGGAGAACGAACCCCCTAAAGCCCGCCGGGCAGGCACCCACCGCGAGGCCACCCCACCCAGAGACAGAACCAAGAGTAACCGTGTTTTCAGAGCACGAAGCCCACACAGTAGGGAGGCTGCAAGCGGGGGAACTGGGAGCTGCGAAGAGCTGACCTGCGGGTGCGGACAGGGGCACTGGAGGCTGGGCAGACGCCCCGAGGGAGCCCGGGGGGGGAGGTGCGTGTGGGGAGGAGGCCTAGGAACACGGGGTGGGGGGAGGGGCGGGGAGGGGTTGGCCTCCTGCCTGCCCTTTTTGCTCTCAGCCCCTGCGTGCCAGCCGGGCTCCAGGGGCAGAAAATTAAATTAGCCAAATGACTCCCAGAACCGCAGGTCGTGGGGACCCGAGCCCCGGTGGAAGGAGGGAGGCAAAATCAGAGCTGCTGCAGGTGCAGGAGGGGCCTGGGGGGGCAGCGGGCACCGGGGCCCCCACCCCAGGAGGAGGGGTGGCACATGGGGCCTCGCTCGGGAAGTGAGAGGACAGAAGGACCACAGCTCCCACAAGCCTCAGGTCCGAGGGGCACATGCACTGAGGGCATGGCCCTTGGGCCGGGGGTGGACGTCAGCGTCGGGGCCCAGGTATGGCCGGCTGCTCCCAGGTTGCCGGGGCCACAGGGGTCCTTGAGCTGCACCTGGAACCCTGATATAAACTGAAAGCTTACAAGCAGTCACCTGCTGCCAGGGGTGTGGGGCCCGCGGGTGCAGAGACAGCCCCCAGGAGCTAGCCCACATCCGGCCGGAGCTCGACATCCAACAGGGGGCGCCCTCTGCATCCCTGTGCACAAAAGCCTCTCCCAGGGGGTCCGAGACTTAGCTTTACAGAAGCAGAGCGGCACAAGTGGAAGAAGATGACACAGGACAGCGCTCCCAGGAGCCCTGGGAAACAGTTTTTAAGCAAGACAAAAAAATTAAAGACGCGACACACCCAGGAAGGGCACAGCCCTTCACGGGGACCCTTCCTCCCTGGTCGGCAAGGTGCCCAGGTGGGTGACAGCCTTCCCTTGTGCACAGCCACAGCGGCAAGCACGCTCGGCCGGAGCCCGCACTGCAGAGCCGGGTGTGGGTCCTGACGAGGACTTACTGGCCCAAACGGAAATAAACCAGAACTCAAGGCAGCGGCGGGGCAGGAGGTGAGGGGGGGCCGGCGCTGCGCCCGAGCGCCGGCCTGGGTCCTCCTTCACCAGGGAAGTGTGGTGCGTGAGCACGGCGCGCGCCCACCGTGTCCGCGACAGCCGCAAGCTCGCCACGGGGCCGCCAGAGGCCAGGGTCCAGGGAAAGAGGGAGCCTCCCCCCGCCAGGTGCCAGCGGCCAGCGGCGTGCTCGGCCCACAGGAACCCAGCACGCGTACAGGGCACACATCATCAGTCCACGTCACCGTCGCTCTCCAAACCACGGTTTCTAAAGGCCTCCGAACAGCCCGTGCTGGACGCCTCGGACACGGTCAGCAGCCTCCGTCGCTTTATCGATGACGCCGCAGGGACGTCTGCGCATGGGCTCTGCCCCTCCCTCTTGCCTGTGAACAGCTTCCCAGACGCAACCCTGACACATGGTCCCACCCGTAGGAGGGGATGTACAGCCTCGCAGCAGCGCCTGCCAACTCTGTAAGAAGCTTTACCAATTTGGTGACAAGTAAATCTCTGTCTCTGTACTTATCTCTTTCATCGTTAGGAAGTGAGACTGTATTTTATATATTTTTATGGCCAACCACTCTTCTCTTCTGTGATCTGCTCATCGCCTTCGCTTGCTCCTGCCAGGGCTGCCTGGGCTCAGTGACTGACCCCCTGGGGGGCCCGGCTCCGGAGAGGACCCCTGTCCCGTGTGCCCCGACGCCCGCCAGGGCCCCTCTGCCACCCTGCTGCCGTGTCACTGTAATGTCGGTCTCTGGCAATCGTGTCACGTGCTCACCAGGAAGAAGGCAAGAACCAGCCGGCGCTCTGGGGGGTTTGCTCGGCTCCCACACCCTCGACCAAGGCGTTAGCGTCTCATCAGCACGCACGGTTTATTAGCTCACCTCTCAACACTAAATGGTGTACGATGAAATATTTCTTAAAGTCAGGCCGTTTTTGTTTCTTTATGTTATTATTATTAGTGTTATTATTAGTGTCTTTAACACAGAACTGCTCAGGGGGAAGCATCAAAAGCAGCGGGAACTGTAATGTCTGCCTAGCTCTGTCCCCATGTCCCTTCTGTGTCCCCAGCTTGATGTCCCCAACTGTGTGTCCTCACTTCTGTCCCAGGTCCTCACCACCCAGTCCTACCTCACCTCCGTCCCATCCTCACATCCATCCCGTGTCCTCACCTCCACGTTCTCACCCGCACCCAGGGACCTCACCTCCACCTGGTGTCACCTCCATGTCCTCACCTCCATCGTGTGTCCTCATATCCACCCTGTGTCTTCATCTCCATGTCCTCACCTCCATCCCGTGTCTTCACCTGTGTCCTCACCTCCATTCCGTGTCATCTCTGTGTCCTAACCTTCGTCTCATGTCTTTACCTCCACCCCGTGTGCTCAGCTCTGTGTCCTCTGCTCCAACAGTAAGGTTAGCATACAGGGCCGAGGGCACCTGGCTCCTGGAATGTCACCTGTCCCCTGCCCTGGGCCTGCACTGGTGCCCACGTGCATGTGGAACAGCTTCTGAGCATGGTGGCAGCGCTCAGCGGGGACGAAGTCAGGAGGAGTCACTGTGACTGAGTGGAGTTTATGCGGGGGGACCTTGGAAGGGGGGTTGTAGGGAGCTCCTGGCACCTCTGGGCACCTGGGCAGGGCGGGGAGTGGGGTAAAGGAGGGTGCCCCCTCTCCCTGTATCCAGGGTAGACTCGGCCTTTCCCTGCGTGACCGCCAGCAGGCTCCCCCCCCCCCACCACTAGCATCCCATGGCGGGAGGGGCGGCCAGGGAAAGGGTTAAGTTTAATTTATCCTGATTTCTATTTACTACCACGCTCCCCGCAGGAGCCCGCAGCTGTGAGCTGATTGCGCCCGCTCATTATGCAGCCCGTCTCGCTAATGGCCTGTGACAAAGGCACACGGCTTGCAGGCCTCACCCCCGAGAGCCAATTAAACACACACACTCCCTTCCTGTTTGCAGCGCATTACAATGAAATTAAACTGAATTTCAAAATCATTTTCTCCTAAAGACATCTCTTTACAATAATTAATGCATGCTATTCCTTTTCAACTCAAATATTCATCAGCGCCAGCGACTGAATGTTTTAACGCTGACTGCCCCCCACTTTGCCCGCTGCTGCCATGCCCGGGGGGCTGCCCTCCACTCTGCCCGCTGCCACCCATGCCCAGGGGCTGCTCTCCACTCTGCCCGCTGCCCCCCATGCCCGGGGGCTGCCCCCCACTCTACCCACTGCCAGCCATGCCCAGGGTCTGCTCTCCACTCTGCCCACTGCCGCCCGTGCCCAGGGGCTGCCCCCCACTCTGCCCGCTGCTGCCATGCCCGGGGGCTGCCCCCCACTGCCCGCTGCTGCCTGTGCCTGGGGAACTACCACCCGCCAAATCCACAAGGTTTGGGTTCCTGGGCTTTTAAAGGAAAAAAACATCTGCAGCTTTTCATCTGAATTTAAAAATAAAAGAAAACACCATAAAGCAAGTCAGGGACCAACCAGAGGGCTGCAGGATGGACATACAAAAAGCAAGATTAGCTCAAAATAAATATTTCTTAAACAATGCATTTGAAGGACAATGACAGAGAAAGGTTTGCCGCTATCAGACTGGCTTGTGTGAACACAATGTTCACGAAGGGAAGCCACGCGGGTATTAACGTGCTGACCACATCCTGTCATGGAGAAGGGAGGGTCCCAAACAGGTGACCCGGGCTCCTGGGTCCCGACACTGAGCCCCCCGCTGACCTGTCAGCGTTCTCGGGGCCCGGCCTCGCTCTGACGACTGCCAGACGTCCCCTCTACAACCCTTCACCACCGTCTGCACACCTGCTTCTCTGCCCGGCTCGGAGGGACCCCGTGGCCGCTGGGCTGTGCACGCTGGCAGGCACGGGACAGAACCACGGCAGCTGGGGGAGAGCAGGTCCGGACCCACGTGCCACTGGAACAGGAAGGGGTCCCCCACCCCCGGGAAGACCCTCCATCTGTCCCTTCAAACCAAACCCCCACCCGATGGGTCCACACGGCACCCCGAGACTGTCAGGGTCTACGCGGGGCCCCACTCTGCCACTCGGCGACCTCAGGCCCATGACAGCAGCACATCGGAGTGGACACGCGATCCCGTCACCCACAGACCCACGCTGACACAAGCCTGGTGAGGCGCCCGTGCGAATGCCAGCCACAGGCCGCCCATGCCGCAGGGCCCAGCCGCTGTTCTCAGAGGCGCACGGTGCCCCCCCGCCGGCACCCACTCTGCCTGCCTGTGGTCTCCCCTGGGCTCTGCTCCCCACAGGAGAGCACGGAACGAGGCAGGTTTCTGCTCGCGGGGCTGCGGGGAGCGATATGTGCAAACACCTCTCTTTTTGGAAAAATGTCTTGAGAGTCTCCTGAAATGGTGCATTGTCAGCACAGAAGTTTTACAAACACAGACAGGCAAGGAGGAGGGACCACCCGAATCCGCCCGCACACACCATCTAAACGGGCGTGTGGAGCAGCGAGGAGCGGCAGCTGCACCTAAGATTCACGAGGTCTGCTGGAAAGTCCACACCGCAGGATGGCTGGGCCAGGGGCGGAGGTAGGCGGGGAAGCAGGGGCAGGGGTGGGAGGGGCCAGGGCTCCCGGTGCTGCGGGGAAAGCCCCGCCCCCCCAGGCCCGGGTCAAGCACAGCCCCAGGCACAGCATGGAGAACAACGGAAAATTACCCAGATGGAAAAGGAAGCACATATCAGAAGGTTCTAGATCCTGGGGGGGGGGGCAAGGAGATTTACGGGGGGGGGCTTGGAGAAGGTGGAGGAGGGTCTCTGACACTCAGGGGGCTCCCCACCCACGGTGGGTGGCGCGGCCCTCACTCTAGAGCTTGGGGGTCTGGGGGCGCGGTGGGGACCCAGCCTTGAAGATGGGGCCCCCTCCTACCTGTCTTGAACCAGCCGTCGCAGGTGAAGGCGTTTCTGGTTTCTTCTGGTTTGTCCCAGTACTCGCGGAAGACAGACGGCCCCCTGACCAGGAGCTCCCCTTCCTTGTCTGTGAGCCCCGGGGTCACCTGCAGCACGGAGACAAACGCGTCCCTCAGAACCCACACCCTGCGCACGGGGCTCCGCCGGCCTCCCCCGTGACCCCCGACGGCACCCACGCTTCCAAAATCAGACATTTTGTTGAAACTATTGAAAAATGCATCCTTCTAGGGGGCACATGAACCCCAACGTTCATAGCAGCACTCTCAACAATAGCCAAGACATGGAAACAGCCTAAGTGTCCATCAACGGACAAATGGACCAAGAAGATGTGGTTCATCTACACGATGGAATACTCCATGGCAATGAGAAAGAATGACATCTGGCCACGTGTAGCAACATGGATGGAACTTGAGGGTGTTATGCTGAGCGAAATAAGTCAGGCAGAGAAGGACAGATACCGTATGTTGGCACGTATAGGAGGATTAGGAGGAACTTAATGGAGGATCATGGGGGAGAAGACGGGGGGAAATAGGGGGGAGAGGGAGGGAGGTAAACCCTGAGAGACTCTTGAATGCTGAGAACAAGCTGAGGGCTGATGGGGGAGGGGAAGGGGGGTGATGGGCATGGAAGAGGGCACTTGTGGGGATGAGCACTGGGTGTTATATGGAAACCGACTTGACAATAAAGTATAAAAGAAAAAAAAAGAAATGCATCTTTCTTTTTCTGTTTTTCTTTTTTAAATTTTTTAATGTTTATTTATTATTGAGACAGAGAAACACAGCATGAGTAGGGGAGGAGCAGAGAGAGAGGGAGACACAGAATCTGAAGCAGCTCCAGGCTCCGAGCTGACAGCACAGAGCCCGATGCGGGGCTCGAACCCACTAACCGTGAGATCATGACCTGAGCCGAAGTCAGATGCTCAACTGACGGAGCCACCCAGGCGCCCTCTTTTTCTGTTGTTTTTAAATGTTTACTTGAGAGAGAGCAAGAGGAGAAACGTGTGAATGCACATGGACACGTGGGGGAGGGGTAGTCAGAGGGAGAGAGAACCCCAAGCAGGCTCCTCACTGTCAGCACAGAGCCTGACACGGGCCTCGATCCCATGAACCATGAGATCATGACCTGAGCCGAGATCAAGCGTCAGACACTGATGCGACTGAGCCCCAGGTGCCCTGAGGAATGCACCACTCGGTCCTGGAGCCCAATCAGATGGCGCTGCGCATGGAGCCGGGTGTCACCGTATTCATCCCACAAAGTCCCATCCCCTAGACTGGAGGGTGTGAGTCACTGACCCAGGTCTCAGTCGGAGCCTGGCTGGGTGCGAGCCACCTGTCCACGTGTAAGTGCTGCGCTCCGGCATCTGACGAAACTCCATCTTCGGTGTCTTCCCTGCACAACCCGCACCCATGGGGGGTGGGGGGGTGGGGAGGTGTGTGTGGCCGCAGCAGGGCTCTGGCAGCCCCGCGGGCCTCCGCTTGGTTAGAAAGAGGCTGAGCGCACAGCCAACCAAGAAAGGACGGCTCGCGAGCAAGCGCCAGGTGCCCAGGAGACAGTGCGCCTGGATCACGTGGTCCCATAGGCAGGGGGCTTCCTCTGTGGTGACCACAGCGCAGGGCAGGAGGGAGGCTGGGTTTTATAAGAAGCTGAGTAGGGCTTCCGTGAAGCCAGGAAAAGACCGTGCGGAGGACGAGCACATCAGGAGGCCCCGTGGGAAGCTGTCAGCGGACATGGCAAAGGAGACTGAACCGAGGCCACTGATACTCTGACTTACCGACTCCTGCCTGGAACGGACTTATTCTGGAGAAGAACCATCCCTCTTTTAAAAAAGAATCTGAGTGGGGCGCCTGGGTGGCTCAGTTGGGTTACGCGTCTGACTTCAGCTCAGGTTATGATCCTGCGGTTTGTGGGTTCGAGCCCCGCGTTGGGCTCTGTGCTGACAGCTCAGAGCCTGGAGCCTGTTTCAGACTCTGCATCTCCCTCTCTCTCTGGCCCTCCCCTGCTCACGCTCCCTCTCTCTTTCTCTCTCTCAGAAATAAATAAAATGTTAAAAATTTTTAAAAAAAGATCCAAGACCCTTTAAAAGAGGCTGTAAAACTGTCTGACTCGTGTGTCTGAGGCCTGGACAGAAGGTGCACCTCAAGGCCAATGCAGCAGCTGTGTGTGACTCCTCAGCCCACTTCCTGCAGACACGGGCAACCCCACCCTCAGGGGACAGGGCTCCAGGTTCAGGGCCCCGCCGGGCACCTGCCACTAGCCTGCTTGCAGGAAGTAGTGTTTGTCTTTCTGCTAAATCATAGGTTTTATTTGAATTTCACCCATTTTTCCACCACCGCCCTTTATCTGGCCCCACTGCCAAGGTCAGGCTAGCCACAGGGCAGCAAGACAAAGGCTCTGAAAATAAACAGGCAGGCACCCAACCCTGGAGAAGGCGGGAGCTCACTGACTGAAGCGAACTGGGTAACAGTAAAACAACAACAACAACCAGCATTCCCCACTGGAAACAAACAAGACCCAGAGTCTCATAACATATTATTTGAAATGTCCCGGACGCAAGATTGCTCAGCAGGTGAGGAGCCACCATGCGGGACAAGGCTAACAAGGACTTTAAGACAGACGTTATAAACGTGCTCTAAACGGAAGGGCAAACGCTCTGGAAGGAAAAGGAAAAACTGAAAGTCTCAGTTATAAAGCAAAACAAAATGGAAATTTTAGAATTGGAAAACACAATAATGGCACCAGGAAAAATTTGCTGGATGGGCTCAGTAACAGAATGGAGACCCCAGAGGAAAGACCGAGAACTTTAAGATGGGTCAGTAGAAACTACCCACCCCATCTGAACCACAGGAAAAGCCAGCGCCACCCTGCTCCCCGCTGTGAGGGCCCAACTCCTGCTCCTGGTTCCCAGGAGACGAGAAGTGAGGAGCCAGCGGATCATGGGTAAAATCTGGCTGAAAACTCTCAAGTCTGGTGAGACACATGAACCAGCAGAATTAGGAAGCTCAGTGGACCCCCAAAATGACAAACCCAAAGAAACACAAGCTCAGACACATCACAATCCAAGCACTGGAGACCCAAGATAAAGGAAAAGGCCGGCAGTGGCTAGAGTGGATTCGCGGCTCGGACGACCACCACCTTCTCACCCGAAGCCGAGGAGGCCAGAGAAGGGGGACGGCACCTTCCAAGCGTCAGCCCAGAATCCCAGATCCAGTGAGTAACGTTACGCGTGGAAGAAAAGACAAAGACACTCTTAGATAAGAGACAACAGAGCCTGTGGCCAGCAGATCTGAATTAAAAGAATGGCCAGAGATGGGGTGCCTGGGTGGCTTAGTCGGTTAAGCGTCCGACTTTCGCCTAGGTCATGATCTCGCGGTTCGTGGGTTCGAGCCCCGCGTCGGGCTCTGTGCTGACTGCCAGCTCAGAGCCTGGAGCCTGTTTCAGAGTCTGTGTCTCCCTCTCTCTCTGACCCTCCTCTGCTCACGCTGTCTCTCTCTCTCTCTCCTAGAAATGAATAGAATTAAAAAAAAAAAGAATGGCCAGAGAACGTTCTTCAGACAGAAGGGAAATGATGCCAGAAGGAAACAGGGAGACTCAGAAACGAAATAAAAGCATTAAAATAGGTAACTATTTGGGTGAGTAAAACTGACCATTCCGTTCCTCATGAGGTTTTTCAAACAGTTTTGAGCGATGAAAGCAAACATCATAATCTTGCCTAATGGAGTGTATGATCTACGTAGATGTTACACACGACAACGGTGTTTGCTGAGCAGGGAGAAGGCACCGGGACCCATATGCTGGTGACAAAGAGTCTTTATGTGACCAGACTTTAGTCAGGCTCCCAAAACTTTTCACAGGCCCATCTGTGCCCTTCCTGAACAATCCAGTTTTAGCGAGACCCCTGCTGTTTCAGTTTAGCAGGAGCCCCCACTCTGATACCTGGTCAGCCGCACATGTGATGTCGTCCCGGCCCGCCCTCAGCAATGACCCTGCCAGTCCTCCCCTGCTGCTTGGCAGGCCGTCTCCAGGGCCCTGCTGTGCTCAGAGGGGGCCCCACACCCGTTCCAACGTCCCGGATAAAGTCTGCCATGCCATCTTCAACAGGCATCACTGGGTAATTTTCTCTCTGATTGGGGTAGGAATTCTACATTCTTCTGGGAGTGTTAAGTGTGAAGTCTAAGTAGGTCTCAAAAAGTGAAGTATATATATCGTAGTCCCCAGAACAACTACTAAAAAGCTGTACAAAGGCGTACGGTCAACAACTCAAGTAAATGAAAATGGACTAGTAAAAAATGGGTCCAAAGAGCACAGTAAAAGGGAAGCTGAGCAAAGAAAAGCTGGGGGAACACAGAAAGTGAGGAAATAACAAATGGTGGTGGGTGGCAGTGGGCTCAAGTTCAAGCATTTCCATAATCAATTCAATGTCAGTGCTCTAAGCACAATTAAAAGATTGTCAGACGGACTGGTGAGGCCATACATGATCCAACCGTACACACAGTGACACAGGCAGGTTAGAAGCAAGGGACGGGACCATACATACACATAAACACCAATCACAACACACCGAAGCAGCTGTGGTGAGATGAGACAAAATAAACTTAGGAGCAAAGAACAGTACAAGCGGTATCACTGACGACACAACGTCGAGTCACCAGAAAGACACAACAATTATAAATGTGTGGTCACCCAGTGACAGACTTTCAGGGTACATCAGCAAACATCTGAAAGCAGAAATGGACTATTACTGTGGAGGATTCACGCCCCTCCTCGGCGACAGAACTGGGGAGACAGCCAGCGTGGATGTGAGGAGCTGAGCACAACGACCACGGGGGCGGGACCCACGGGTGCTGCACCGAAGCAGCAGTGAGTGCATCCACCAACACAGCCATGTTCTGGGGCACACGACACGCCCTCACAAAGTTAAAAGAACTGGAATCGTATCCAGGATGCTTTCCAACTGTAAGGGGATTAAACTAAAAATGAATAACAGAAAGATGACAGCCAGCCTCCAAACACTTGGAAAATAGACAACACACTTCTAACTAATCTGCAGTTAAAGAAGAAGTCTTAAAAGAAACTAGAAGATCAGAAA